ACACACACACACACACACACACACACATACATACATACACAAATGCTCTCTTTCCAGAAGTAGGTCAAACTGTTCCCGAACTAACACTGGTCAGGAAGAGGCAGTTTCCATGGTAACTGGAAAAGACTGCCTTGTCATCATGTAGCAGAAACACATTCTCTCTGCAGTTTAACACGTGTGTGTCCCCGTGTGTGTGCCCGTGTGTGTGCCCGTGTGTGTGTCCGTGTGTGATCCATCCTCCAAGTGATAATCTGGCATGATCACACAATCCCTTCCGGTATCCACTGTGTCGGGATGACACTAAGTACATTTACTCAAGTATAGTATAATTTCCGGGTACTTGTACTTTACTTATTTTAAATTGTTGCTACTTTGCGAAACATTGTGATATTACTACAATTACTTTACGGCTGTATTTACTTTTTTAAATAAATTACATAATGTGTTTACACTACAGTACACAAAGTACACAAAATGTGCACCACATTTACAAATTAAAACACAGCAACATTCTTAAATGTATATTTAAAAACAGAATAATATCATATTTTTATGATAACACATCAAATACAACAAAGAGCAAGAACTTGACTACAATTTATAAAAAAATAAAAATAAACATACTGTACTTTATATTAAGTATAATGTTGTATTCATATTTTTAATGGAGTATTTTAGGACTGTGGTATTAATACTTTTACTTGAAGAACTTAAAGGATCTGAGTATTTTTTTCACCATTGCGTATTCATTTGTGTAATTTTTTTTAGTGTAAGAACCATCTCTATGCAACATCCGGGAGTAAATAAACCTTTAACTAACACAGTTATCAAGAGGTTGGGTGTAAGGTCAGTAACACGCACATGACTGAGATGACGCATAACTGTCCTACGCTGAATTAGAATGTACCATTAGATCACCAGGATATCAATTTTCTACACACGTTCTTACTTTTATCCCTTATATATGTGTTCTTAATGTTTTATTTTAATTGGTTCATCCTGGATTAAATTGTTTTACATACGTTTCCCCACTGAATAAAGATGAATTTTACAGTACAGTTAATTTAAAAATGTGCTTGAGTTGTGGACAACACCACCACCTGGTGGTCAAACACTGTCAGTGCATTTTCTTTAAACTTGTTGATGAGCTGATGATTCTAAACTTGTTGATTTTGTCATTTGCTTCAGCTAAATTCTTGATTTAAAACTATTTTCAGCAAACATATAACATATATAAACAATAATTTAATGACAGATTTGAAATGTGTCATTCATCTTTTGGGAGATTTGGATTTGTTTGTTTTAACACAACAATGACAATTGTCAACTTCTTGCCAGAGGTGGAAGAAGTACTCAGATCTTGTTCTTGAGTAAAAGTAGAAGTACCAGAGTACTATAGGAATACTCTGATACAAGTAAAAGTCCTGCATCCAAAATGTTAGTCTAGTAAAAATAGAAAAGTATTAAAGTACCAAAAGTAAAGTAGTCATTGTGCAGATTGGTCCATTTCAGAATAATATATATGATATGTTTTATAATGATTGATCATTAAAGTGTTCTCAAAGCTGGTAAAGGTGCAGCTAGTTTGAATGACTTTGTATACTGCAGGGTAGCTTGTGAATTTAATCCAGGTGGAACTAAAGTCTGATTTAACACTTGATTATATTTCACATCATTCATCCACATCTGTAAAGTAACTAAAGGGATTAAATACATGTAGTGGAGAAAAAGTACACTATTACCCTCTGAATATTAGTGGAGTAGAAGTACACATTAGCTTAAATGGAAATAATCAAGTCAAGTACAAGTATCTCAAAATTGTACTTACAGTAAGTACACTACTTGAGTAAATGTACTTAGTTACTTCCCACCTCTGCTTCTTGCACAACGCTTGCTGTTATTCTTTCATCCTTTGAGCCAGGGGTTCACAACCTTTTTTCCCAAGAGCCCCCCCAAATGACTCCTGTTGGAAGTTGCGCCCACCCCCCCCCCACACACACAAAGCGGGGGGGGTGGTATAATGGGGGAATTCTATGCGGTAATAAGTTTAAAAGTCTAAAAAATGCTACAACTAGTCACAAACTGGATGAATGTGAAGTATTTTGTTAAAGGAGGATGAAAGCGTAATTAAGGAGCACTATTGGAGAGACTGATGGTTATTGGACTTCCGCTGTATCAAGAAATTAAAGGACGGCGCAAGTGGAAACAATTCACAAAGGGATTAAACTGTTTAAAACACATGCTCAAAGTAAGCCGGATTTTGCCAATGTGTTTATGTGGATTCAAAAGTCGTAAATAATCTACAAAATGGAGGAGATCGATCTGATCGGAGCAACTGTGACAAATAATCCAACTGAAACTAGAATGGACAATGACTGTTTTAAAAATGCGCTTATCCAGAAAAGCCTGGTTTGGACAATTTACAGGCAGAAGAAAAATTTCTATTAAAGGTGACCTATCATGCAAAATGAACTTTTGTACGTCTTTTATACATGAATATGTGTCCCCGGTGTTCCAGGGAACTCACCAAGTGTCAGAAAACACAACCCTCTCTCTTTTCCTCCATACCCAAATCTCTTAAAAAGGGGCTGCAATGGATCTGATCCAGACTGATCCAGATTTGAACACTTATGTGACGTCACAGAAGTGGCGCTACGGTTATTGGGCCAACTCCACCAATCAGGAGGAGACAGCCACGGACATTGCCGTTCGAAAGCGCTGGAGACACTGTAGTACATATGCCAGGCCTATAGATGGTGCTGTTCTCACAGAATCAGCCCATGCAAAGACAGTGTTGAATTGAGCGAAATGAGGAATGGCTAAAATGCATGATCTGTTTGGTATTTTGAAAAATAAAAAGTATAAATATGCCTTATATCCTACACTATATTATTCAAATATAGCATGATAGGTCCACTTTAAAGAAATAATTATACATTTCTGTCTTTTTATGCCTTTAATACTAACTTGACTTTTTATTAAAATTAATTAGCCAATTGTTTTTTATATTTTATTTTAATGTAGAGACAAGGCTTTTAGTGACAATCATGTATTGCCTTACCTTACAATTATATGTAAAAAATAAATTAAAAAAAAGTCTAAATATGATATTTGGCCTCAAATCATCTGAAGCCTGGCGCCCCCCCTGCGATCAAGGGGGGAGCACCCCCCAGGTTGGGAACCACTGCTTTGAGCCATAGGGTGTCATATTGCCCATTCAATAATCAAAAGCAGGCATAAGGTATTTCTCATACATATCTGAGACATTGAATGTTTTAAACTTGCTGAGGGATAACATCAGGTCTGATGCAGACGTAATGCTCGAGTGACACCAGTGAAAGGAAGTTAACAAAGGAGAGACGAGAGATGAGAACTATAACTAAACTCCTGCAGTCTTTTCCAATTTGGCTTAGGTTCTTTGTTTTGGCACTTGAACAATACATCTAAAAAATCAAAGGCGTTCCTTTTACAACACATGTGCCCCAGAAATACTGTGAATATACAAATGTGCAAATCCTTACGCCACCAACTTGTTTAGACAGTATTGACTTGGAACAGCCTAAAACATCTAGTCCTTACGGTGGCCCTGAAGTGCAAGACACCACAGCATTTCAGAAAACACCACAGCATTTCACAAAACGCTACAGCATTTCACAAAACACAACAGCAGTTCAGAAAACGCCGCAACATTTCACAAAACGCCGCAGCATTTCAGAAAACGCCACAGCATTTCAGAAAACGCCACAACATTTCACAAAACACTACAGCATTTCACAAAACACCACAGCATTTCACAAAACACCACAGCATTTCACAAAACACCACAGCATTTCAGGAAACACCACAGCATTTCACATTGGACGGAAAGGGTATTCCTTTAGGGAGAACACTTCTTGTTTGTGACTGGACAGAGCCAGCCAGAGAAGCACTGCTGTGATTGGTTGTTTTTGCTGCCAGTCAAGAAACGACGCTTCGTGATTGGTCAACGCCCGACAGCGCAATATGTCCCAACACATTACGGAGCGTCCACACAGCAGCGTGCGTTGGCGGTGGGCGTGTCTGAAGCTTGGGGAGTCAACGCAAGCAACGCGACCAACAACCAATCACATGAATCTCCCGCCCCCGACATAAAAAGAAAAAATGCTAGCATTCCATGCTAGCTATATATACTGTCCATGCCTGCTAGCTGTCCATTCAATGTTTAAACGAGGTACACTGGATATAAACTCCCCAAACAGGCGAAAACCTACCAGTTTCACCCACTATCTCTGCCACCTTCCTCCATGCCTGGCTCCTCCGGTTTGTATCCCGGTAGATGAACAGAGACTGATCATACAGCACCAGGTGATTCACTACTCGCAGCATACACGCGGTTTGATTGGCTAGCAGTTGTACTGGCAGATTTTCATAAACGGGATTTGATTGGCTGACGCTTCCGTGAGCAACGCGTAGCTACGCTCCCCACAATGCAGTTCAGCGAAGCGTGACGTCACCCCATTCAAAGTGAATGGGCAGAAGCGTTGAAGCTTCAACGCACGCCGCTGTGTGGACGGGCCGTAACGGGGAGACGCGCTCTGGCGGCGGTCTCGTTCAGGATCCGAAAATACAATTTAAATATTTTGCATACTTACTTATTCCATTTATTCCTAGTGTGCCACTAGTTACGGTGCTGCGTGCCAATGCTGGCTGGCACGCGTGCCAGGGGTTACCAATCCCTGGGTTAGAGTTTGCGTGGAGGACCGCACGTTTTCCCGTCAAGTTAGTATTTTATAAATCGCAAACATTGCGTAGAAACTGCGGTACACAATTTTTTGAGCGTATATCCCTTTATAAATGCCCCAGAAAATGATCGTATAGGGCGTAAACACAGAGCCGTTTGCCCCCCCAAAGCGTGCGTTTGCAGATCTATCCACCTTGGGACCCGTTATCGTTTGCGGGGTCCATTTCTATCGTTTTGCTACGGCCTCGTTTAAACGAAAGGGCTATACGCAAGAGAAACTATGCGGATACAACCCGTATCGTCCTTGTGTAAACGGGGTCTAAGTCCCTGCAGTATTCTACAGATGGGTTATTAGCAGTGGTGTAGTGGGGATTTTTTTTACTGGGTGGACGGGGCGGGGGTGGTGGGTGGACGGGAGACACTATGGACGCGCTCGTGAACTGTCAACG